TGAATAATCTAACTATAACGTATATATATTAACTGGGTTACTAATATACTAGTTAACACCCAGACAACAGATAAAACAGGACGTTAATATCACACCATGCTTTGGACTAGGTCAGCTAATATTAAACTGACAAAATCATATCCATATGGGATTTTACATTTTTATAAAGAAATGTATAACAGGAATGTTACATACTAGTACATGTATATGTAAACTGATTTATTAGAGAACTCGGAGGGGGCGCGGGGGCGGGTTCTAGCTGTTTCGAGACCTATACCGGACAGTCAGTCACAGGGTACCGGCTGCTGGTCAGTGGTTTAGTTTTCTACACAGGTACTCCAGGTACTCCAGGTACTACGGTTTTCCTCACGATCCCTAGCAAAACCTGGCACATCCTTAAATGACCATAACTGTTAATAGGACATAAAGCACAAACAAATAGAACCAATTAATTAGAACACTATATATCATAACACCCTATCATACCATACATTAATATATAGATACCCTATAAGTGAAGCCAACCCCATTGTGAAGAGACTATTATTATCTGTATGTTGTACATATTAGTTTACCAGAAACCTCTATCACATAACCACACAGAGGTAACTTGACATACATCCTATGTTGTACATATCAGTTTACCAGAAACCTCTATCACATAACCACACAGAGGTAACTTGACATACATCCTATGTTCTACACACAGATTTAGTAAAGAATTCCATATGACATAAACTCGGGAGAAATATTTGTGGCAGCTATATAAACCGGACATGTATGACACCTGTAATAAATGCACCAACGATGCACATACTTAACATGTTTTCCTACGAAGTATCTAATGTATATCTGCCATTCTGCTCCATTAACGTTGATACAAAAAAAATCTCTTGAGGTCGGAGCTCAAATATTCCACAAGGTCACAGTTGAAGATTTTGACACTGACAAAAATACTATCATGAGTGGCGTATCTGACTCCCTGAAACCTCCGCCCCACACATCGTTATGCTTATCGCATGCCACTGAGAGAAATATATTTATTTATTCGTATATCTTAACCAAGATAATTTCCTGATTATTTAATATGATCATACATAAGGTTTTAATATAACTACAGAAAGTTAGAATTAAAACAAACTATTTTGTTTGTATAAAGTTCACAGAGGTAATTTTATTTTGCATACATGTAGACTATATATATGTGTGACTTTACTGGTACAAAATACAGCACACATTTTTTAATCTAATTTAAATCAGTCCGTCTGGTAAACTTGTTTTCTGGTTCATTATCTAAAGTTTACTCTCTACCACATATCAATTTCCTCCCACATCAACATCTATAATTATATTTGTATGTTACAGATTTATTTTACATTTTAAATATGTATTTTTTTCAAATGTAAATGCACATTTATCTAATAACTGTTATGGGAGTAAATGGTAACATTGAGCTAAACGTATTTCCCTTTGCAATACTATCATGCCTATAATGTTCATGCCTGTTACAGCAGATAACAAAATTTGAATGGGTAAATAAATAATTAAACATGTACATGTTGCTTTTTTCAAAAAGCAATTCATAAATATAGATCGATTCTAAAAAGTACCAGTGCATTTCAAAATCTGAGTTTCCCAACTTAAAAAGCCATCTTGTTATTGCAAACCAAACCTAATTAAGAAAATCTGATTTTCCAAACTTAAATGATAACTTGGTTTCAAAAGTTAATTAAGACAATTTGAATTTCCCAAATCAAGCTGACAGGTTTTTTTTCAAATCAAACCTAAAAAGGTTTGAATTTCCAAAATCAAACTGACAACCTGTTATTTTCAATCTAACCTACCACAATGAGGATAATTAGATCTTGTAACGATGTAAACACCAGATCCCCAGTATTTAGTGTTTGGTACCGTGTGTCTGTAGTAATGGCTATGTGTGCTTGGTAGTCAACATGTGTACCTCTCCGCTCCCCTAAAAAACATCCCCCCTCCTACTCCCCCC